TGACTCCTCAAAAAAATTTGAGGGATTAACACACCTAGCCCATCCCCTATCCCGTTAACTCCTGGCAATTGTGAGGAGTTAACTCTCAAAACCTTGCCCCCTCTCTTATTTTTAAGCAGCACACACATTTCTTAGGAACAACTATTCCCCTGCCAACTCCCGCCCTCGGCGCCACCTCTTCCTGCCTCAGTCGTCGAATGTCATCGCTACCACCACCACCGGTCCTGATTTTGATGGAAATGGAACCGAAGGCCGCCACCTCAGCCGTGCCGACCACTCCCGTTGGCGCTATGCTATAGGAGTCGACCCCACGTGCCGCCTCTCGGACCAAGGAAGCACCTCGGGGTGAAGAGCCTGGTGTGTACCGCCATGATCTCAACAATGACCGGTAACAAGGCCATACCGGGCTTGAAGAATCTCAGCCGCCCTCCGCTTGCTCCGGCCGATGGCAAGCCGCCAATGGCGGCCGAAAAGGCCCACAAAGAGGCGGCAACAAAGTAAAGAAAGAAGGCATCCACGCCGACGCCTGCTTCCCATTTGGTTCCTCACATCCCTTCCCCGAACACTTCATCACCCCCTCACCCGGCACATTCGGCCATCGCAATCGAGGTCCATGCCACCAGGTGTTCGGTGATATGCTCGAGAGGTAAAAATTTCTTCTTATTCTCCTCTATAGATATTGACGATGGGTTGGACAATGATCTAGTGACGTGTGATAAGTGTATTTGTTCACTCATTTCTACCCTTGTTTAAACGGGATAATCTTATATTTCCTAAGATAATCACTTCGATATGATCACTAATGACTAATAAATGTGAAAGATCAAATTCATTTGTTTATTTTGTTCCTTCCAGTAATGGGCCATCTTAGGAGAGAAATGAAGTCAAATATGAAAGATACGGAGCTAGGCAATGAAGACCAATCAACCAGAAAAGACAACGCCTGGTATGGGCGCGAGTGCTCTTACCAGCTCTCGTACCGCATCTTGTTGGATCCCTAATGTCAGCAACAAACTTTGTAAAAGCTCTGTGGTCCAATTATCATCACGCAATCGTAGAAATCCTATTCCACACTCCAAAACTATAAGGGGGGGGGGGGATCCCTTCACTAGCTAGCGACGACAAGGAGAAGAGTAGATCAGCCACCACACCACCATTCATATTAGTCTTTACATTAATTTTTCAAATTCAGGAACATTTTTGAATTGGCAACCATGTATTTCAAGTTCATTGACATTTTTTAAACCATGAATATTTTTTAAGACTCACCAACAGTTTTTAATTCATGGACATTTTCCAAATTTATGAACATATTTTTATTTACGGACATTTTTCAAATACAAAAGGAAAAATAAAAAACTTGAACATTTTTCTAAAATCACAAACTTTTCTTTGAATTCATGTTTTTTTCGAATTCAAGAAAACAAAGTACACACGAATATTTTTTTCATATCTGCAAACATTTGTTTCATTTCGTTTAAAGGGAGAATGGAAAGACAAAAACGAAAAAAATGAAGAAAAATGGCCAATCCTATGTGACCTGGGTCATATTGGCGCAGCTTCGCTGAAGCGAGGAGCAAGATAGACCGGCCCATTCGACGGGCGTGCAATGTTTTCTGGCTTCGCTTTTTCCTTTTTTATTTTTATATTGCGTTTTATATTTATTATCCTTTAGTTATTTTGTTGATATTTATCATTTTGCAAGATATGATGTATATTTTTCCTAAATACAGGTTGATATTTTTGGTATCTCATGAACGTTTTTGAAAACTAAACACTAGAAATTTTGATATATACGATGAAACTTCTCCTTATAAACGTTTAACATTTCATAAGTATATGTGAAACTTTTTGTAGCTATATGACGATCATTTTTGTTAGTA